ATATCACTTTATTTTATACAAAAATGAATGATGATATTTTGCTTGTACAAATCTATGTTGACGACATTATCTCCGGAGCAACTAACGTTTCAATGTGCAAAGAATTTGAAGTTTTGATGCAGAACGAGTTTGAGATGAGCATGATGGGAGAGCTCACCTTCTTCTTAGGTCTACAAGTCAAGCAATCAGCCGAAGGCATATTTATCAATCAATCTAAATATGTGCATGACCTCTTGAAGAAGTACAAGATGCTCGAAGCCTCTCCCATGAGGACTCCAATGGCCCCTGGCCAGAAGATAAATAAGGACCTTAATGGTACACCTGTAGAGTGTAAACTCTACAGAGGAATAATAGGATCCCTCTTGTATCTAACTGCTAGTAGGCCTGATATTATGTTTTCTACATGTTTATGCGCTAGATATCAGGCWAACCCAAAAGAATCTCATCTTTGTGCAGTGAAGAGGATCCTGCGCTATTTGAAAAAGACACCCACACTTGGACTTTGGTACACTCTGCATTCAAATATCGACCTAGTGGCGTACACGGATTCAGATTATGGTGGATGCCAGATTGACAGAAAGAGCACCTCTGGGAGCTGCCAGTTCCTAGGAGGAAAATTGGTGAGTTGGTCGTCAAAGAAACATAATTGTGTTTCAACTTCCACCGCAGAAGCCGAATATGTGGCTGCTGCGAGTTGTTGTTTGCAAGCTCTGTGGATACAGACCCAACTTCGTGACTACGGCTACTCTGTCAAGAAAATCCCCATCCTCTGCGATTCAAATAGTGCGATTGCAATATCAGCCAATCCTGTTCAACACTCCAAGACAAAACACATCGACATAAGGTATCATTTTCTTAAACATCAAGTTGAGGAAGGTAACGTCGARTTGTATTTTGTCAAATCTGAWTTTCAATTGGCTGACCTCTTTATAAAAGCCCTAAACGAGAAAAGTTTAATTTCCTTTTGGAGAAAATAGGAATGTCATGTCCAGAGTCTTAGGTAGTGGTGGTCTTAATTCTCTATTCTTTATGTCTATAGTTTTCTCTTCTAAATTTAATTTTTTTGTAAATATTTTAAATTTCCTGAATAATATTTCGCTTGATTCTCTAGTCGACAGGTTTAATCACACAGAGGCTTGCATGGTTGAAGAGGGAGTTTGTGTTTTAAAAGACAAAACCTCTAGAAGAATAAAATGTTTTAGTTCACTGAACTCTTTTTACAGAACCTCCGTGACTGTTTACAGAGGCTCTTTGAACGGATCTTCTGTGGCGCTTCTTCTTAAGGATTTTAAAATGGTTTTTATTCAAGGGGGAGCCAAGGAAGCTGGCTCAGAGGGGGAGTTTTTTTTTTCAAAACTTAAAACCATAGAAGGTGCAAAAACGCTTAAAGTATCTTGTTCTCAGAGGTCATCTCATCAGAACCTCAAGCGCTTCTAACAGAGGCTCTGTGAGTTGARCTGAGCAAATACTCATCTCTCTGTGGATTTTATAAAAACCGTTTAGGTATAAAGGTGTAACACTAATAAGAAGGCCCGACACATATCACAGAGGCTTGTAACCCTTAAGCCTCTGACAAAACTCTCTTAATAGTTTTTGTCTATTGATATGGTGCGCGTGGTTCTGTGGATGAGGGTTAGAACATACACGCGCGTGTCAGAAAACAGAAGCGCACGTCATCAATTGCACGTCTTCCCAATACGGTGTGTCATACCTTTTTGAACCGTTTCACCCAAAACTACTCATTACACGACCTTTCGTACTATAGACGGTTCAATTTTTCGAAATTCCTTACCTATAAATACCCTCCTTCCCCCCAAAATTAAAACCTTACGCTCTCATAATCTCTCAAATACACAAACGAACCTGCAACCTGCAACTCTCAAAGCAAACCTGCAACAATGTCTTCCTCAAGTGCCTCAGCCCAATCCGCAAATGTCTCCAGCGACAATGAGGTAACACAAGCACAAGCCCTAACCTTGCACGCCTTATCCTTCATGCAGAACAAATATGAAAAGGTCGTACTGGTTAAAAAACCCAATAACTATTACTTCGTCCCCTTCGGTTTCCCTGAAAATACCTTCGTTTTAATGGAAATCTTAAGAAACCACCCTCTCTACTACGCTTTGACTGCTACTCGACCCACTCCTGAAACATACATCACTCAATTTCTACTGAGTGCCTATATAACCACCCTCGATAATTCAKGGCTAACCATTGTTGGTTACGCCTCTCACCCTGTGAATAAATCCCTTGTCTCCCTGGAACTGAATGTRGAAACCVTAAGAACTGCTCTTCACTTAYCTACTCTCCAAGAACTTAATCTGAATGCTTTTGCCGCYACTCCTACAGACGRGGAATTAATCCAATTCCTAGAACTTCATTCCTATGCTACGCCAATCACCAAAAGGACACAGTTTAGACGTAAGGGACTACCCCCTTTGTGGAATACACTCTTCTCCATCATCAATTGTTGCCTCACAGGGAAGGTAGGTGGCCATGATCAAACATCCCACGCTATGATGTCCATCCTCTACGGGATTTACTTCAACCTCCCTCTRGACTACGCCCAACTCATCTTTGAGGACATGATTGGGCTCATCAAGAATAAATGCGCCAGTCAGAGAGGAGAGAAGACAAAGGTTCAGCCCCAAAAAAAGGCCAAGGAGGACATGAACCAGCCGAACTTGCTTTTGGAGACCTTTTGGTAGCAAGGTTGCCCTCTGTGGAGCCAAACGCAAAGCTATACCCTTTCAAAGAGTTTAGACCAACAGAGCATGAGCATGGCTACAGAAGCCCAAGACCATTATCGAAGGCCATGCTCAGGTACTTGAGCCACCATGACAAAAAATCCTATAGACGTGCAAACAGGCGATCAGAACCGATCCCTGTAACCCCACCAGGAATAGGTGTCCCCTTAGGTATTGAGATCAAAAAAATGAGAGTAGAGAGACTAACGGAGGAGCCAGTAGTGGTTGGTGAGGTGAGTGAGCATCCCACTAGAATCCCATCACCCCCTCGCAAGAAGACCAAGACACAGAAGGGTACCGACTCTTCTGTGAAGAAGTCGAAGGCGAAAAAGAGGCCCGCAGAGGAAGAGAGCCCAACTGCAGCTTTGCCAAAGCCTAAAAAGAGAAAAACAAAGAAGGTTGAACCAAAAGAGCCTGTGATCACAGAACCTGTGGTCACAGAGGCTATAGCAGAAGAAAGCCCCACAGCAGCTGCAGCAACTCCAAAACGCAAAAGGTTGCGTAAAATGGTACTTAACGTCTCCCCAACAGAAYAAATTCAGGATGTTCTATCGAATATCCAGAAGGAGTTCAGAGCACCAATCGATCCATCTCAGTTGGGGACAGAGGTCATCATAGATGACGAAGAAGAAGAAGAGGTAGAGGAGTTCGACGAGGGTGTAAAAGATGCCAAAGGCACACATCCTAGCCCACATCCTAGTGCAACCCACGTATCTAGAGGCCCTGTTCTAGAGGGAACCTCTATTGAAGATGACATGCACTTGCCGAACCCAAGCCAGCCTACCGCTGCAGAGGACACTCTTTCGTCCTCTGTGGATCGCACATCTGRGAAGCCACAACATACTCCCTCACCCTCTCAAAAGGGTGAAGGTTTTACAATAAGAGTCCAATCGCCCAAGGACTCGACAGTACACCAAGAGACATTTGTTGTCTTTTCACAGAGTGATCAACTAGAACGTGCTTCAGAGGCAATGGTGAGGTTCATAGAGGCTGAGGGTCTAGAACACCCTCTGTCTCCACTAGATCAAAATGTTCGATTAGGCTCTACACAACACCGTTAGGCTCTCCTCAAGGAGACGTTCGAGGATATGGTGGAAGTCCCCGAGCAGGGTACAAAATGCCAGCCGCTGAGGGTGCCTCACGCTCTGAGGCCAAAAGATCACCATGTGTTGGTGGTCCGAGTACCCAGAATGACTATGTAACAAAGGGGCAGCTAAACGTCTTTCCCATAGAGTTGTTCAAAAAGATAGACGAGTTGTAAAGCTTGTTCATCTCCCGTTCGCAGCCAAAGGATCTGACAACGCTTACAGAGGCTCTGAAGGAGGTATCTGCCACCAATACAAAATTGAAGAATACATTGGCAACCCTTCAGAGCTCTGTCATCAAGAAGGACGATTTGACAGAGGCCTTTCAAGTAATGACTCTCAACCCCTCCACCATAAAAATGCTCAAGGATGAACTCACAGAGATGGCTGCCAATTTTGCAGCTGATTTTGTCTCTGCAGGCTACACTAACTACTCATCATTCAGAGACGAAATCAAGGAGATGTTCTCCTCTACAGTCACCTATGGAATTGACTCGTCAACCTCAAGGGCAAACATCAACCACTTGGCTACTCACAGAGAACTGGACGCTATGGTGGATGCCCTAGGGGATTCTGTGATCGGCCATCTCGGAGCACTTAAAATGGAGATACTCACATCCAACGATCTCATCAGAGACTGCACCTCCAAGCTCGTAAAGGAAGGTGACCTCCTTCGTGCAGAAGTCCTCAGCACCGTCTTCAAACTTAAATGGGCCACATAATTTGATGTGATGAATGCCTCTGCGGGTACCGAGAAGGTGATAGAGAAAATGTACCAGGCGGCCACCAAGATTCTGCGTCATTTGAGGAGGGCTCCCCTAACTTCATGCAAGGCTGATGCCATCCAGAGCCATGACGATCATAAGGGTGATGATGATCGTTATGATGGGGAGAAAAAGGAGGAAAAGAAGAAGGCCAAGGCCCTAGAAGCAAAGAAGAAATCTACCAGAACACCTGCCAGAGTTGTAAAAATTGGAGAGTCTACAGCTGCTGACAAAGGCAAGAAAAAGGTTGTAGAGCCTACAGGCAAGGGAAAGGCCATAGCTGCAGAATCTTCAAAGAAAGGGTCTTCATCGAGCACAGGTACTCCAGAGCCAATTAATGAAGAAAAATATGCTGATGACCCTGAGCTCCTCAAGGTATTGAAGAATTCTCTTGCAGAGGCTCAGGCTAAGAGGGGCAGAGCGCCTCTGCCCCTATGCACCACAGAGAAGGTGAGGCCACAACATCCAATTTCCCAAAAGTCCAAGTCCTACAAGTCCAACAAACAACTTCCACGGGTACGTTCGATGCTCTGCAAGGAACCGTTAAGCCCATCCTTGCAGAGTGATCAACCCAGAGGCCTATCCTGGAGGAAGAAGAAGAAGAAAAGAAGATGCCAGAGTCTACACAAGGGGGACGGGTCTCTAAAATTCAAGAATCTATGAGCAAGATTCCCATGATGAATGTTCGCACAGAGCCCGTCACCACTCCAGAGGAAAGGCTCACTTGGAAATACTCTGTAACAGACACAGAGCCACCCTACGATCCAGAGCTCACTGATATCCCCTCTGCCTATGCCAAATTCCACTTCTCAAGGTTAACAAGGCCTCGTGAGCAGGTCTTCTCGCGCCACAAGATCACATCTTTGGTGTCAATTTCACCAAGGACTCTATTAAAGAAGGTCGTGCTGTATTCACAATATGTTGTAAGGAGAGAAGACCGCAATATCTACACGTTCATTGATGCTGATTTGCATAACCTCTGTGTGTATGATCTCATTTATATGCACAAAATCCTTAATATCTACATGGGGAGGAGGTCAACATACCAAATTTCCCTTAGAAGGCTGATTGAAGTTATGCGCGTGCAAGTGATGTACTATAGCCAGAAGGATTTTGAGTTGGCCATGCGACTAGCACAGAAGAATCTAAAGATCACTCCTCCTTACAGCAGGCCAAGTTGGGCATCTAAGTACTATCCAAACACCATTCTACACAATACCGTTTTTGGGTTTGTGTATTTGGACAAGGATGAGCTACTAAGATTCTTTGACCCCACAGAAGCTCACAAGTATGCAATAAAGACTTTGGAATGGATCTTCAAGTGCTTATTGGCAGAGGTGGATAACAGACATTACAGGGTTAGCGAAGTGTCTCCTCTCTT